GCAGTAGCAGTAGCAGTAGAAGAAGTAGGAGGAGGAGCAGGAGGAGCAGGAGGAGGAGGAGGAGGAGGCGGAGTATGAGCGAAAGCAGCAATAGCACAGCAGTTGTGCGGTCACAAAGTATATGTTCAACTGTTGGAGCATCGCTTTGCATTAGCTGCGGGTTCGGGGCCACCATCTCTTGACAGAGCAGTGCAGCAGCAGGGAGATTAAGAGGGTTCCACCGCAGCAAACTTTTCCCGAAATCTGTTTACCCATAGGCCCCATAGTAGTTCCTTTTCGGGATTACCTAATAGAATTCTATATATGAACCCCCAAAAGGAACTACTATGGGGCCCATGGGTATATGTCACTGCCAGCGGAAATCCTCTCGAGTGTATTTGTAGGCATCTGTCGGCAATGTTGTCTGGTCGTCCCAGGGCGTCATGCTAACAGACCTAAACAAGGATTAAGCAAAATCATGTTTTATCTTCATTACCTTGGAGCTCGCCGTCATATCGTTGCCACTTCAGGGTTTTGGGCGGTATTTCGAGTGCTGATAGATACACTCAGAATACGTGTATGTCTTTGTTGATACTAGCAAGCACCGGATGGTACAGCAGGAATCATTCCAAAACGTCGTAGCCGCAAGTGATGAGAATCTGATTGCGTGCTGGGCCCTTATCCGTGCTCAGGCACTTTCACGAGTGACAATCTGGCACACCTGGATGCTGCCTCTTGGTTTTCTCCAGTGAGTTTCGGATTGTACGGTTCAGGGCCCAGCATTTTTCCAGGCTACCAGTAGGACTGTAAGCTCCTCGGGGTGTCGACTTGCCATGCCACAAGGTCTGGGGTGATATCAAGCAGTTTCTGTTCTGGTAGCGGCTTAGGGTTTAGAGGGACCGGATCCAAATCCGGCGTATCGTGAGGTTCGGGGTTGAGAAGTTCGCAAGCGAAAGCATCAGGTGAATCGTGGAAACTGTTGCATAAACCCTAAACCGTAAACCCTAAACCCTAAGCACCTGGTTGGCTGCCTGACCCTGCTCCGACCCGCATGGGATTGCAACTGCCGCAGGGCCAGCGTCCAAATCGTCTGCTAGTTATCTTGTTGAGCGCTTGCATCAATAATCATGACAACAATCATTTCGCAGAACCATAGAAATTCAAAGTATCTATGCGGGCTGTATGCATCTGCAAAAACCGGTGCATGAAGGGGTGAGATTTTGAACCTGGGGCCATGTAGGCGGTGGGGCGCCCGCTTCCTTCCACTCAACTATATTGGCACTATAGACTCTAACTGCACATAACTCCATATTTCGGCACCTCAAGTAGTGTCTACGTTTGTAAGACTCTATAAGCAGGGTACTTATCGACTTATCGACATATAGTACACTAGAGAATGCGGGGAAATCGGTAGAAGCAGGGGCGAGACAGTGCCGCTTCTGTATCGTGGGCCATGCCGGTTGCGCTTCCCTTATTCAGGACGCTGTCCGGCAACGTGCTTCTGCCTGTCCCCACCCACCCAAAATGCAACGCTTTGCGCCTGGCTTGTCTACCGAACCAGGGGTGATGTTGATGCAGCAATTCGCTACCCCCTGCGCCTGCGGCCTTCGACTATCAATAGCTTCCAAGCTCTCTTAGGCTTACAACGCAGACGCCGGCCGGTCACGCGATAGAAGCTCAGCTTGTCAGCTTGAGTCAGGGGGCCAGGGGGCAGTCAGGATTCAGCACACTTTCAATGTTTCCATGTTTGCAAACTCCGGCGCGAAGAACCCGCAACTGCAGTTTTCTTAGATCGTACCGCTAACATCCTAAATCCTAAACCCTTTAAATTACGCTGCAGGCCGATACCAGTTGCAAAGCCCTGAAACCCAAGAGCCCTCAGACCTGAAAGCCTTACGCTTGGACCTAGCGAATTACCTTTACCGGGGGGGGGGGGGGGGGGG